ATTCTGAGGGGTCTGGCTGTTTGTCAAGGAGGTGTGGTGAGGCCACGGAGATCTCCGCCCCGTGGTCGACCAGGGCGGTGGCCGCCTTCTCATTGACAAATAGTTCAATCACAGGGGAAGGAACAGACACAGGCAGCATCTCTGCCTCTGTGCTCACTCTCAGACTTGTACTGACATTTTGTCAGTAATACCGAAAGGAAATACTCAGTAGCTTATAAAGGTTTTTACGCAGCAGGATTACTGACAAATTTGTTCGTTAACTACGTACAAAAAATGTCAATGGCTACCACGATATAGTCAGTTTATAAAATGGCTGAATTATACATAATGTACAAACTAAATTGTTGGTTATACTGACATTTTAAAAATATCAATAAACAATGACTTATTTTTGAAAGTTAGTAGTTGCTGACATTTAAGTCAAGTTTACTGATATTTCAAAAAGTCAATACAAAAAAGGGTGATGCTCAAATGTTAGTACTCACTAACTATTTATAAAGTTATACTAACAAATGGAAAAAGTCAATACGAATTGAAATAATGTCCCAAAAGTCAGTAGTAAATAACAAGTATAATTATACTGATAAAAATGTATGTACCTTACAAAGGAATACCTCATGTATTACAGAGGAAATTAAGTAAGTAATATATGAACAAAATAACATCACCACTGCCGCACTGCCACTAAATGACGGAATGTAGCTTGTAGCTGCCATTGTTTTCTTCTCGATATTGCATGCCCTTCAAACACGTTCCTTAGGAGTAGACCTCTGGGCTGATTTCTTGCTAGATCCTAAGTAATAAGATATTAAACAAAGGAAAAAATTATTTAATTTTACTATAACAAGTTTGAAAACATAAGAAAAGTGTACAACAAAACCAAAAAATAGCTTGCGGATAGCATAAAATATAACTTACAGTTCACTTGCTTTCTTTCTGTTGCATGTTTTATGTTGCTGTTCTGAGCGCTTCTTTCTGCCTGCTTACATAGAGCGGTAGGAAATTGGATTGCTGCCCTTCTCTCCTTCCATGTGACCACTGACTGACACCAGCACCTTCTGCTTTCATTGCTCACTGGCTTCCCTGCTGGATCTGTAACAAGAAAATCAAATGCAATAAATAAAAACAAAGTAATTCATAGTTGCCTACTCTTTTTCCCTGCACTCTGATTCGCACATTGCTAAGTAAATCTTTTTAATTAATGTAGAGCTATCACTAGTCCAATGGACCCAAAACAAACGGTCTGTAAGCACTACCCCAATCATACCGCCTAGTAGGTAGGCAAGACCGAGGTACGCTCGACATGCGAGTAGTGCGGGCTGGCCTACCATGAACGTCGCAGGCGCTAGCAGGGTAGAGATTGTTTGATCAATCTATATAAATAGATACAACTATAAATAGCATTGTTCTTCCAAAAAAATTTGAATTTCACCACTTACAGAAAATTTAAAAAATAAGTTTGAGACATGTAACTAAAATTCAGGATTTTTCTTATTTTTAATACAATACCACCAACAACTTACCTCTGTCTGTCTATCCTATTTTTAAACACCTTTCTCTCAACACTTATATTGAGACCAAGACAAACAGTGATGACAGTCAGAGTGTCATGTAAAATTTAATTTTAAACTGTAAAAAACATTTGAACAATTAAATATTAAAATAAAGTATTGAGATAATACCCATTGAATGTAAAACAAAGAAACTTAATTACCATTTCTGTGTCAAAGAACACCCGTATGGAAAGGCAGTGGCTTCATTAGGGTAGAACAGACATCGATAGCATGATTTACGGAACCAGATGAAGATGTGCCATCTCCTTATCAAAATGAACCTGAAGGGATAAATTACGAAGAAAAAATTGAGTTAAAATTATGAATACAATTCTTATGTTGAATGTAATAATAACAAACACCACTACAAACAAATTTACCTAGCCATAGCTCCAGGAGTCCTTCGTCCTTCGTTCAACACGTCTCAATTCATTCACCTCTTTTGACCGCTGGGCGTGAGAGGTGAAGTAAGGCTGAATTATTGAATCATCGTGTAGCTATTAGTCTAATAAAATACTTCATATCAGCTATTCTGAAAATACGTAATTAGTTCCTAGAATGATTGTAATGACTGGAAATAAGTAAAAAGCAAAGTACATACTAAAATCTGGTTCAAACCAGGGATCCTTACCTCTATGTTCTGGAGTTCATTGAAATCTTTGCCCAAGTTGGATTTTAACATTTCAAACCTCACTATCCACTTAAGATGTCAGATAGTAGCACCTAAAGTTTAAAAAAAAGGAGATGTAGTGAAAGGCATTTGGTTAACTTTCGGTCGACTATTGCCTGGGAAGACACTGCTTCATTGAAAGAATCGAGGCTAGAGGTTATGCTTTCAGAATGGGCCGGGGGAAATAACAAGTAGTTAGGTTGTTTTTTTGTTTTGATTTTTAAAACAAATTGGGTATGAATAAATCAAAGCATATACTAGTATAGGCAACAAAATACTGATAATTGTTGAATAAGATATAGAACGAAAATAACCTGTCATGAGGTTTACAGTTAGGAATTTCTACTTACATTTTCATTCAGCATCATTCATTGGGTTGCCAGTTGCGGTTTAATCTCAAGGCAATTCCACATTCATGCTGTCATAGTTACAGGGAGTTTTAAACTTTCTTGAGCTGCCTCTTCTCGTCTCATGTTGTCTGCCCATTATTGCTACAAGTGGCCGCATCCGAAAAAAGTCGATGCATCGTTCGGACAGTTCGAAAGCAAAGTTGATTCGATAATCGAAGGAGGCAGCCTGCTTTAACCTTTGAGCCAATGTTTAGGCAGGAGACCCAAGAGACATCTCCTGGTTTATATTATGTCTAGTCGTACTGACGAAAGACACCACAGTTGTCCCTATCTCCACCACGCGTTAAAGCCAGTGCCAGAGTGTACTGTTCTTTCTCCAGACGGACACATGTACCCAGAAGTTGAAAATTCCAGCAAAGTGTGGACTCCCCCACACCCCAAGATGTATAAGGGATAATCAGAAGACAAAGACAATAGATTTTTAAATTTTTCATTATTAGACCCTTGGGGTTAAAAGATAAAATACTTATATCATTTATAGGAAAAACCATACACAACAATCAGGAAGATCAAATCAAAGATAAAGAAGAAAATAAAATTAACATTTCAGATAACAATCAATTGAACAAAAACAAATACAGTTTCATGAGAATGCTGGTAAAATACTAATTTAGTTGAGCTTGTATCTCATTAAGATTTCTCTTGCAGAGTTTGTTAACTTCCTGGGTTCAATTTTATAGATACCATTTTGTACCATTTCCCAAAACATCTTCCAACCAAGGGTGTAGTGGACATGGAAGACATAGTACACTTTAAAGAGGATATCAAGCCCTTTCATTATGGACGTTGTGTGAAGGGCAATAGTTTTTGAGTCTACTATGATACTCAGCATAGTAACTTGGCCCTCAGGGACAAGTGCTAATAGGTAGGGTTGGACTGGCCCTTTTGCTCGCTCCCTTCTTTCATTAATAAAGTCCTGTACATTGACTCCACGCTGCAAAACAGTGAAATTAAAACAATAATTAATTTGAAGATAAATTAACAAACTTTGCCAAAAATTGACAACATTTACAACTTACTGGAACACAGGCTAGGAGTGTCTTTTGTTTTGGGAGCACCGAATTGTCAGATGACTTATTGGCAAACCTCTTCAAGTTGGGCCGAGGTAACTTGTCTGCCAAAAAGAGGCAAGCCTCAATGGTGTCTGAAAAAGAGGTAAGTGACAATATCCCTTACATTTGATTGATATAGAAGATACATTACAACTCATTGATCAATTAAACTGCTTGTTAAAAAATGAATTTTATCAAATTGCAAAAGCAACTAGAGTATTGTGTAAAATAAAGCCATAGCTGAAAGAGAGCAGTTTAGCAAGAGGCCAAGAAACTATAGATCAGCTGTAACTTGCCTTTGTTTTCACCCTTTTCAATGTGTTTCACTTTCATTTGGTCTCTGCCATTTATCCTGAGTACAGCATTCACAAGTGGGGGAAAATTCTGAAGGAACAGTGATGACTTGTCAGGGTGAATCAAGTTGAATTCCATCTCAACCTGTAAAAGTTAACCAGACATTGTAAAAAAAAGATATCAGTGAAGTAACTACAACTAAAATTAAAGGAAATATTATCACCATTTCTGAGTCAAAGGACACAAGATGTACATATCTCTCAAGTACTTCAGTTATGCTGGGACATTTTTCTAAAATCCATCTCCTTCTTATCGGAAATGATTTCTTCATTCCTTGAATGAGTTGTGCTTTTGACACTTGAAATGGCATTGTTAGACTCATCCATTCAGCCTGAAAAACAAATGATTATTATTTTAAGGAAAAAGAATTGACGAACAAAAGATCTGAAGTCCAGATTATCTTACATCAGGATCATGGTAGTTGTCAGTGGAGGTTGATGTTGACGCTGTGGCATCAGCATCTACATCGTCTACATCAACTAGTTTGCCTTGGCCCCCACCTCTGAGTCTATCACTTGGGTTCATTGCCCTTTGGATGCCAACTATGCAGTTTGCTATGTACCCAGACGGCCCAGCTGGGTCAAATACTCGAAACTGAAACAAGTTTCAATTTGGCAGAATGAACAATGTATTAAGACAGGAATGGGATGCAAAGTACAACAAATTAAAACAAGAGGAACTTACCCACGGTCTTTTATTTGGATCAGAATTATCAGCAAATTTTGGATAGGCTGCAACCACACTGGCTGCCATTCCACTTTTCTCGTCGGTTGAGACATATTTTTTAACACTGAAAAAGTCCATGTTGTAATTGAAAAAATACAGGGGTGAGCTGTGAAATTCTCTGAACTTACAAAATGTATATTCCAAAACTATACTCAAAACACATCAATCTTACCCTTTTTCATCAAAGTAGAGATGTTTGGTCAATGTTCTCATCATGAGTTTCCTTTCAGCTTGATAGACAATCCCATCAGATTTCAATTTATCTACAATAGCTTTCTCCTTCTCACCTTTAGAAGAGAGAATTGCTTCAACATCATACTGTAATAAAGACAAAGGAAATGTATTATTACTATAATCTGTCAATTAGTTTTAGTTATATAACATTATAAAAGATCTAACAAACAACTTCAACTCACCTTGGGTAGTTTTTTGGCTACCTCTTCATGAGATAGAGTATCTATCGGTCGCTGTATCAAAATACAAAAGCAATTTAAATCAAAGAATATACACTTTCTGACGTAGAGTAAACATGCTGGTGTTCTACATTAAACAAACCTGTCTCTTCCTGCGGCGTTTCTTAGAAGGAGCGTTGGAATCAACATGAGAAGAGTTTTCAGTATTACCAGTACCATCTAGTGAGTCACTTTTTGAATTGTCATTGCCAGTCTTATCTTCATCATTACTAGATACTGACATATTAGGTGAGTCTTGTGTTTTTGAACTTGGCTCGGTCACAATCGTAGACGACTCGGAAATACTTTCAGTATTTGAAGGTTGTACGATTTGTGTGGTGCAAACTACAGATTTTGGCTGGTTTTGAACCTGAAATGAGAAACCGAGTATTATCTACAGGAGATGCTAGATGATTACAAAAGAATGGTACAGCTGATAAATCACTTACTCTAGGACTCTGTCTTGTGCTAACAGATGCAGTGATCTTGTCTTTTGTTCCCGTCTTACTGGGCATATTTGGAACCATAAATGGTGGAAGATTAACTGATATCTCTGTAAAGTTAATTGAGAATATTATTAAAGAGAAACCAAAATTAAATTAACATTCATAGATAGATTACCAAGAAAGTAAAATAGGTCAACATACTTCGTTCCAATCCATGTTCATAGTTTTCTTTAGCAGCAAGGTAACTCTGCTTAACAGAAGGTGATAGAGCAATAAAATCCTCAGCAGAAAAGTACTGCCTTAAGCACTCAAATTGTCCATTGTCTTTGATTGGTTCCTGCAGGCAACAAATTTGTCAAGTCAGGCCAGAGATAGATTAGTTCCAATAATAAAGAAATGAGCATATCAGTAAGATTTAAAAAAAAAAAAAAGGTCTTAGAGGAAAATATATTTTGATACCTCATCGGAATCTGGTGAGTCTAATGGCAAACGACTGCCTTTTCGAGTAGGAGGAGTAGAAAAAAGACTTTGACCACTAGATCCTGGCTTGTCAGCCAGTGACTGACAAGGAGTTACATCTGACGGACTACCTCTGGAGTCAAAATCAGAACTAGACTTCCTGAAGGTGTGAGGAGGACTGTTCTCTTTACCCTTTAAAATAAATACATTTAAGTTATTAAAAGAAAACATTTAGGGACACTTAAATTGAAGTGACACATGTAAAAACACTTACCATGGGTGGGACGGATGAACCAAAAGCTTTAATGGCATCAACAATATCTAAAATATCTCCGTATGCTAATCCAACTTTAGACCAATCATCTATTTTATATTTTAAAGCTCTTTTACCAGTAACCTTTGCGGCTGAAACCAAAGTAAACAACAAATCATAAGCAAGAGTTTGATTCTAATAATAACATTCAAACGAGAAACCCAAGCAAACTTAGAAGTTCAATCTTCTTGTTTTCAGCAAGAATAAAGCTACCTCAGCCAACGAAACACCTGTTTGAATGCTCACCTCTAATAACATCCAACACTTCATCTTCCAGTTCTGGACACACTCTTCCCAAGTATTCTGCAACCTGCTTGGTTGTGTAGCGCTCCATGCTACCCACCTACCCTGATTATGCAAATAAAATGAAATGATGTACTGGACCAGATTGTTATTGAAGTGAAAAAAAGAAAACGACTCGCAGTTCGTAGTTATCAAATTACTTGAGAACAGTAAGATTCCCACAGGAGGAAAAATAACTTTACAATAGAGAATACATTCAAAGGTGCAAAGTTAATTTAGCTTATTTACCAAATCTTTAAATTGTTTCGTTTATCAACACTTGTGATTCACGTAACCTAACCTCAACAGATATTTACACACACCTCACAGACAAAGTTTGCAAAAGGGGAAAAGGACTAGCTTGATCTTTCGAACTGAAATTGAAAGAATAGCATGTTCAGAAATTTAAAAGTCACTCACTTTTAACGCGAACCAAGACGCGACGCGAAGAATAAACGACCTGGTTTTGGGTCCTGCTCACGGCAAACTTAACCCATTGAGAACTGATTTTGCAAAAGCGAAATCCCCGTGCCCGACTCTATTTTTCCTTTTAACATACGGTCATAAGTACCTCCAATTGTTAATAGATTTTTAGATTAATGCCAATGACAATCCGCCGTATTCTTGCTGTACTAAATCAAACACTCAAACCGCTGCAAAGCGAAAAAAAACCGCACCGCAGCCTAGCCTGTGGGGGGAGGCGGTGGGCGGGGTATGAACTGTTGCCAACTGTTTTCCGTAAGTCGGACCCGACGTCAACCACAAATGTTCTGACTTTCGTAAATTTTACTGGTGTAACACAACATTAAAGATGTTCAATAGCGAAACTAGGGCCTTGAACGTTTACAGTTCTAGATACAGCTTGAAGTGTTTGGATTTGTCATTCTCAGACTGCCCTCTCTGCTCTGAAAAAGCTATCAAGTTTAGCAGCCCTATCGACAAAATGTCAATTGGGCATTCCCTCCACCCGGACTCTAGCAAAAGAACCAAAAATAAATTGGGCATTCCCTTCACCCAAACTCGTACACAAAAAAAACACACAAAATTAAAACACGATTAAAAAATAGTGATTATTTTTTACTGATGTTTGCAAAAGTAAATAATAAAATAATATTCTGGACT